CCTCCCCCCAGGCCCCGCCCTGCACCCTCACTCACCAGGCACCGGCGTCCTCTGGCCTAGCCACACCCACACGCAGGCCCCGCCCGCCTGGCCCCGCCCCGGCCCCTCCCTCAGCGGCGCTGGCGCTGGCCAGGCCCCAGCCCTACCTGCCCACCTCCCACTCCCACAGGGGCCCGCACCTCTCCGCCGGTCCTCCCCTCGGGCGGGGCCCCTCCTCCGCGCCTTAGTCTTGCTCTCATCCTCCAGGTAGCGGAGAACCCGCTCCTGCTCCTCCCCTGAGCGGTTCATAAAGTCATTCCAGACCTGAAAGAGGCAGGCAAGCCGTGGGCAAGTGACTGCGCACCTGGGGGCCCCATTTAACATCCCCCCACTTCGCCGATGGGGAAGGAGGGCCACAAGGGCATGCACACAGCCCTTGCGGACCCCTTTGCCCACCGGACTGGCAGGGATTCACGCCCCGAGATGGATCAACTACCCCCAGATGAGTCATTCATTTCAAGTGTGAGGAGCAGATGAATCCGGGTGTGGGAGGTTCTGACCCAGCAGGGGGCCCTGAAGGTGACTGGGGTGCGCATCCAGGACAGAGGGGTGTTTCTGGGGGAAGGCCCGGCCGGGCAGAGCCAGGTGGGGAGCAGGAGGGTTTCGGGGCTCACCTCCACATAGGTCTCATTGTTGCAGGCCTCTGCGAAGATGCCAGGTGCCGCTGGGGGTGCCAGGTCCCCCTCGTCTGGGCCAGGTGTGCCCCCATCTGTCTCCAGCAGGGTCAGGAGGTACTGGGCTGGATGGAAACAAATCATCTCTGGCCAACGGGGCAGCGCTCGGGAGCCCAGGGCCCGTGGGGACCCCAGCGCCGTCTTCCCCTCTCCCTTTGGCCTCAGTTCCTCGGTGGCCCCCCGCAGCTGCTCTGGGGCTCCCACTCTGTGGCTCACCAGCGCGCCCTGCCATGAAGCCAGGCTCTGCCCCAGAAGGCTCAGCCTCCGGACTGCCACCTCCCAGGCTGAACTCCTGCACACCGGCTAGAGCCCACCTGCCGCCCGGGGCTCCCTATGCCCAGCGCAGGACCTGGCCACGCAGGCTGCCTGCTGCGCACCACTCCGCCCCACCCCGAGGCGCGCCCCATCCCCGCTCACTGTTCTCCAGGCGCTGCAGGCTCTTCCGCCCCTTGGCCTTGGGCACAAGATCCGAGTTCCGCACGGCCTGGTTGATGAAGTGCTGCTTCCGCCTGGAAGCCGAGAGCCTCTTCACCTGCGTGCCAGCTAGAGTGGGCAGGCAGCCCGGAAGGGGCCTGTGGGCCAGGGAGGGGTGGGGAGCTGTCTCAGAGGCAGGCCAGGCCAGGACCCCCAGGCGGAGCCGCCACCCTGCGACCGCCCTGTGCTCGCCTTGGCATGGGCCTGGCCTTAACAGTTCCTTGTGTTGCAAGACTGTCACTCCAGCTGGGAGGCATGAGCTGCGAGGGTGATCTGCGAGCCTGAGGCTCACGGAGGTAAGTCCTTGCCAGGATTCACATGGGGGAACAGTTGCTCCCCAGCCCCCCTGAGGCTTCCCGATCAGCTGAGAGGCCCAGTCTGAGGACTTGAACCTCGGCATCCCTCTGGGGGCTTCTCAAGAGACTCACGTGACCAGGCATCCCTGCCTCACCTGCCTACCTCCCTACCCTTCCACCTTCCCCCCACCCCCAGAAGCTCAGGGCCAACAGTGTGCCCAGGGGCCTGGACTAGGGAGGGGTGGGGAGCCAGAGTGCCCCCCCCCAGCTAATCTGCTCTCCTCCCAGCAAATGTCGCTAATTGCGGACAAGGGTTAGCAGCAGCCAGGCCTCCCACTGGGGACCGGAGGAGCCAGGGCAGCAGGCGGGAGGGGCTCTACCTGGAAACTTCTGGCAAGAAGCTACAGGCAGGTACTGGTCAGCCCCTGACAACCCAGCCACAGGCTCCAAATCCTCACACTGTGGGGGCACCAGGACTCCCCCTCCCGCAGCCCACCCCTGCCCAGGGCTGGCCCAGTCCCATCTCCCGCCCCACACGGCACACCCTCGCCCAGGCCCCGCCGGCTCACAGGCTGGTTCCTCCCAGCACCCAGTCAGGCCCCGACAGTGAGAGCCAGAGCCCCTCACGTGCCCCGCTGCCTTCAGGTTCAACTTTGGGGGTAGAAAACAAACCACTGCTTTGTTTCTCTGTGCGTTACAGGGGTTCTCTATACCGAGCACCCCTCCTGTGAGGCTGTAACCCACGCACAGCGGTACCTGCTGTCCGCCCTGGCCCACCCCACTCGCCACGCCCTCTCGAGGCGAGGCGGGTGACCACAATGACAGCCCGAGCCAGTCTCAGAAAATTCCACCAGCCTGTCCCAGTGTCGCAGATTCCCAAGCCACACTCCTCCCAAGACCACCGGAGACTAGGAAATTCTAGTGGGTGGGACAAGACCCTCGGAAGGGTTAGAAGTGACTGTGGGCTGTGCGGGGCTTTCAGCCCTTTGTATCTGGGTCAAGTCGTGAAGTCCTAGGGCAGCGGAAGATGCAGGCTTCGGGAGGGCAGAAGTCAGGGGTATGCAGGGTGCCCACAGAGGAGGCATGGAGGGGCCTCCTGGGGGTGCAGGCGTGAGTCTCAGCGCAATGAAGCTGTCCCCAGCCCCTGCAGCCCGAGTTGGATCCCCGGCCAGGGAGGGACCCCCAGGGCGCAGCAGACCCCTCCTGTCTCCCCGCTGCTCCCGACAGTGGATTTCAGTGCATCTGCCTGTTCTGTTCCCCGCTCTGTCTCTGGGGAGTCCTCTCACCACACCCCAGCCTGCACTCCTGGCCTGTACCCCAGTTTTGTATATATTGATCTTAAAAATAAATTCAAAACAAAACCAAAAACAAACAAACAAAAAAAAAACACGGCCTCTGCAGCTGCCTGCAAGCCTGGGAGGGCGTAACTGAGCCAAAAGGGGCCAGGGCAGATGCCCTCCTGTGTTTACCCAGATGCCACCAGCTTAGTTTCCTCCTGTGCTGGGAGCCCAGCCCCCTGGTGAAAGGGCCGATCACAGCAACACCCCTGGGTTGAGCAATCTCCTTTACACCATCACCCCGGGAGGTGAGAACTGGCATTTTGATGCCCACTGTACAGATCGGCACACCAAGGCGGTCACTGTGCCCAGGTCTGGAGCAGGAAGGGCAGCTGAGACGGCACACGCCAACCCGGCAGCAGAGCGAGAGCCCCGAGGTCGCACCTGGCCTGCCCCAACCCGACCCCAACTCACTCGTGGCCTCCCAGGGCCCCAGGCCTGTCTCCACCGCAGCAGCTGGAGCGAGTCCAGGCGGGAGGCCTGGCAGTGCCCGATAAGAGGCCACATCCGGGAGGGGGAGAAGCTGGGAGACGTCGGAGTGGGGTAGGGCTCCGCGCCCCCTCGGGCAGGGGCACGTGCAGGAGTAAACCCGGGTCTGCGCAGGAACCTCGCCAGAGCCATGGGCCCCGCTTCCCACTGGGCGCAGGAGCCCAGAGCCCGCACTGCTCAGCTGAGGCCAGCCCGCCGCGCCTGCTCCTTGGCGGCGCTGGAGCCCGTCCTCTCCTGGGCCCAAAACAGGCGCCGGGCCCCTCTGGTGGCTTCGAGCACTGGGGCGACCACAAAGTGAGCCCCAGCACCCAGTCCTGCTAAGTTCGGCCGGGTTCCACAGGTGGCAAGAAATGTGGCCTCTCAGCCGGCCACGGGACGCCGCCTCAAAACGGCAAGACTGGGGGTGGGGCCAAGCCGCAGCTTGTGAATACCAGCGAGACCACCCACGGCCAAAGCTAAGGGGTGGGGGCTTCCTGCGGGCGCGGGCGCAAGCCCGCACTATGAAGCTGCTGGCAGCCACTGCGGCCTGAGTTCGATCCCTGGTTAGGGGAGGGCGCGGCTGACCGCTCCTTCTCCCCGCTGCTCCCCTCCGCAGTGTGACGGTGGATCGGCCTGTTCAGCTCCCCACTCTGTCCCTGGTGAATCCTCTCACCCCCCACACATCTGGCCTGTACCCCAGTTCTTGTACGCGTGAATAATTAAAAAATAAATCTTAAAAAAAGAAAGCCAGCGGGTCGCGGGGACACAGTAGAGACGCCGTGTGAAACAGACCGACATACCTCAACATACACGCCCCAGCCCATCCTGCCTCGACCCACTCCTGCTCCGGCCGCGCCACCTTCGCCAGCCACCAGCTGACCCCAGGGCCTTCGCTCACGGAGCCCACCCTGAAGCAGCCCTGGCTCACTCTGGTTTCTGCCCCGCCCCCGCCCTGCAGCGCACCCAGGAAGCCCTGTTTCCTGCCTGCCTGGCTGCATCTGAAACCAGTCGGCAGTACTAGTCTGCCTGCCCCCGGGGCCTGAGGACAGGACTGTCCTTTTCATCCTGCTCCGTCCCAGCCCCTGGCCCACAGTGGGGTGTTCCATGCTGTTTGTTGAAGGAGTGCCTGAAGTCTGTTTACAACCTCATCCAAGGGTTCTGGGCCACCCAAAGGGTTCCCTTTATAGATGAGGAACCGGAGGACCCAGATAGAGCACTTGAGGCCTCCCGGCCCCCGAGGCCTCAGGAAATGTCTGCGCCACAGCGGCTGTCCCTGTGAAGGTGGACGGCCCGGCGGTGGAAGTGACCGCTAGGTCGGGCTGGGATTCAGGAGAACTGGCCCTTCCCCAGTCCCGTTCACTGAGGGTTTTGAAATGAGACCTCTGTAACACCTCCCCTGTGGACAAAATACACCTCTCTGTCCAGTTCCCTCCCCGGCTGAACCGGCAAGAGAGGAACCTACTTGCCAGAGAAGGAAATCCAGGAGGCTCAGTCAGAGTGACTCAAGTGGGGTGGGGCTGACCGGCCCCCCCCACCCAGCGCTGGCCAAACCCCTGCATGGGGGGTACAGGGCAGGGCAGAGGGTCCCACCTGGACGGCTCCTCGAAAGGGGCCTCCTCGCTGTTGGGATAAATACCCACACATGCAGAGCCCGGCACCTCTACCCAGGTGGGGAAAATAATACCAAGAAAAAAACAAAATGATGCAGTCGCGTTAAAGTAATCACAAAAAGAAAACAACTGGATGTTTAAGACCACGCGGAGGGCTGGGCACGCCCCCGTGTGGGTCACCGGCTCTGGCCACTGCTGTTGCT